CAGGCATTCAAGTGGCATTCAAAGCCATCATCCATTCAGTAACTTCAATCCCACACCTCACTGCTGCTTCCCCTTTACTCCTAGGACATATTTTCTCTGACTGCAGTGAAACCTCCAGTGTCCCAACTAATCGATTTCCTTTCAATTTTCTGTCAACATCATCTGCTTTTTTCTTTTTCCTCAGCACAAACTTCAATGTACCTTCCCGCTCCTCTTATCATTTGGTGAGCCCAAATGACAGTGCCCTGGTCAGCAGAATATGAAGTGACATGTAATTAAAACTTCCTTCACTCAGACTTCTATTTCTTTCCCATTTGATGGAAGAAACGAGAAGACTCTCAAATCTGGCCATGTTATAGTTTCAACATGAAATGTTCCTTGGGACCTCTAAGGTCAAGGCCTGGTTGCCAGCTGATCAGATTTTGGGGGAACCACTGGACCATGAGAGTTCTGACTTGGTTGATAGATTAATGTGTAATAAGGAATTAATAATTTGATAACTTTAGTAGGTAACTGGATGTGTGTGCTTGATGCTCTTGGAAAGGCGTATCCTCTACCTGGCTCTTCCTCAGTCTCGGCTTCCTGGCCACTGAAAGGTGAGCAACTCAGCTTTACTACACCTTCTCCATCACGATGTTCTGGCTCAGGACCATGAGAAACAGTGAAGCCAGTAAAGCATGGACTGAAACGGTGAGTCAAAGTAATACTTGCTTCCTTAAGTTGTCCCTAGACAAAGTCTTTATTATGAAAGTGGGATGGCCATCTTCCTGACTTCTTGGGGCTGTCACAGCACACTGAATTAGGCTTTAATTGTAATCATCTGCTAAGATTATTGAGGTTGTTTGCTATTTAGTCAATGTTTCCTGGTTTGTACAGAGTTCAAGCCACTCACATTAAGCAGTGCATTACTATAACTTCTCTCTTCGCAAAACTGCAATGCAGTTTTCCTCTTGACTTTCTACACTGACCCTGGAAAAATCTGCAGTCCAGTTTTAAGTATTTTCGACTTTATATTAGCTTTCAAGTATAGACTAAAAGAGCAGTCCTTAAGGCCAGTAGGGCTGCTGATATTGATAGATCTCAGATGACGTCTAGCCCTGCCTACCACCTGATGACTTTCTCTAAGCTTCCTGAGATCCCCCCAAACATCCACTGCCATTGGCTGTTCTTGGAATGTTCTCTCTGGGAGAAGAACTAGATTACAATGATTGCCAGTCTCTAGTTGAAGATGGAGTGAAGATGGCGTGTTCCTTCTTCTCAATGTTGTCTTCCATTCTGTTCCTCTCCAGGTTGTCCAACCTTTCTCACCACCTCTCAGTCTTCTTTTCAGTTCCCCATGTGTTCCAGTCCTTTCTCCATCATCCTTTGAACCCTATATTTCTTCCTATGTCATCACCCTTTAGAGTTAATCTCACCTCTCCTATAACTTTAATAACTACTTTATATACCAACAACTGTAAAACATGTCCCGCGATTCTACATGACTCTTGAACCCCAAGCCATAATGATGTCTAATCGGCACAAACAACTCCTACCTTCTTTTCCCACCCTCGCTAACATGCTCTTTTCTTGCCTTCCCTTTGTCAGTGGATCCCATCAGCCAAAAACCTGGGAGGGCTAATCACTCCTCCAGTAACTATTTATAACCACTCCTAAAAATGGTTTGAATGTTTTCCTTCCTCAATATGTTTTCTGATACCAATATTTGCATTTTTAACACAAGTTACTTCAAAAACACCATTAATTTCTGGGTCTGTACTTGCACTCTTCGAAACTATTTTCTAGACTTCCCTGATATAAAAATCAGTTAGTATCCCTTCCCTATTGGAAATCTACCAAGGGCTCTCTGTACCTTTGAAGAAGGTCTCTGTCTCGTCTCAGAGACACATCCATCCAATCTCCAACTGATGTGCTTGCTCTGGCTTCCCATGTTGTCAATCTAGTCTCACACTGAACAGAGCCACCACACTTTGAGTCTGAATCAAAATCTAACCTTCTATGCTCCTTTCCTGTGCTCAAATCAGAAGTCTTGGAGCAATGGAGTCTTGAACCCTCTTCCCAGCATCCAGTTCATCACAGTGCTTATGCAATTCTTCCCATTTAATCAAATTCTTGAATTTATCAGTACCTCCACTAACTCAGAAATATCCATAATTTCTTATCCAAAACACCCAACTAATCTCCTCTTTCCATCTTCTCCACCCTTCACAGCCTCCTTCCATTCCACAAGCAGCAGGATGCTTATAAAATGTTCGTGTGACTGTGCTTAAAAATCATTTTCTGTTCTCAGCAAACAATACTTTGATGGAACTCTGATTCCCATAACAGTAGACAAAATGTCATTAGAAAAATTTGAACCGTAAAATGGGACAGTGTGAGACTCTGAGGAGAGAGGGTTATCAGACATACATGACAGGTCAAGGCTAGCCTCTTGCAGAAGCGGTTTTTCAGTAAGACTTGACTGAGCAGAAGTATCTAGAATTTAGTACAGAGCATGTACTGCATACTTACCAACATCCCCAACATCTTACATCTTACTGCTCTAAGCATTGCCACAGGTTTTGGCACATTTGGATTTTAAATACATGTCTGATGAGTACAGAGATGGATGAGGTTCCCATTTAAATTGTGCAAAAGCCCAACTTTATATAAATTTCATGATTATAATTTTTTGTGTTACATGCTGGCATCGATTTGTAGGTCTACTAAAATGTCAAGGCAGATAAAAATGAGTAGGGTAGGACTGATCCTGTGTTGTTTCTGATGTATAGTTATTACCAAGTTTGTCTCATACCCTGGAGCCCTGAGAGGACAACAGGATGAATGTATCACTTGAGGACACTGAGGGACCTTTCAGCCTTATCATACATGTAGCTGCCGTTGGAAGGCTGGAATCTAAGATCCCTAGCTCTGCACCTTTTTATGGGCAAAACTGTTTTTATACAGATCCAAACAGACATAAAATACCCAGATTCATAAATAAAACAACTTTAATTGTTATAGTATACTTCTAAGAAACTATAAAAGATCCTCTTAAATATACCTTCTTGTGTTCTAAATGGCTGAATTTGATTCTGGAAAATAAGTTATTGAGATGCATAAGCTAATAGTTGCAAATTGAGATTATTTCTTTTAATGGACAGCAAAATCTGAGCTGAAACAAGAGGACTTATCACTTTCATTTAGCTTACCTGCTCTGTCTATTAACTCATCTACTACATAAATAGGCTGTGCTGGATGACAGGATGCTACCTCTGATCCCATAGAATGTTGGTTCCTGCATGACACAGTATATGTAGTATTTTTCTAAAGCTTTAGAAATAAAATAATTCTGACTTTCAAGGCTTGAGTAACCTCAAGAGTTTGGAGTACTATTTTCCAAAATGCACCTAATTCTGTTACCATGGGTTACAAAACCTCTATAACGTATGGGATTTGATGTTCCTGGCAAAAGTGAAGGCATGGAAACACAGCTATGATCTTAGCATTTAGAGTCTCTAATTGAGAGCAATGCCATACTTCCTCTCAGATCTAATATAAATTAGGTGGCTGCACCATCATACTATTGCATTTCCTAGCTGTAGCTTCTGACCTGTGGAATTTTTTTTTTTTTTGAGACAGCGTTTCTCTGTGTACCCCTGGCTGTCCTGTAACTCACTATGAAGACCAGGCTGGCCTTGAAATCAGAGATCTACCTGCCCCTGCCTTCCAAGTGCTGGGATTAAAGGCATGTGCCACCACCACTACCCAGGGAGAAAACTTTTATAGGTAAACCCATCCCACACTAAGCCACAATATAAACATTATGGGCATTGGAATAATTGGTTGTAACTTCTAATTTTCCAAATACTTCATCATTCTATCTTATAACTTCTATAATTTTCTCATACTTCCTACATTTTCATCTAAAAGTTCCAAGTAGCACATACCTTCTGGAAGCAAGAATTGTACTCTTTCTAGGGTATGTGTGTATCTTGGACTTGGCTGTGGAAGCATGCTTATACATATTACTTCAGACTTTCACAACCACCCTGTAGAGATTCACTTTTTGATTCATTCTGTATCCCAGTTGGACTGGATCTCACTATGTAGCCCCAGCTGGTATTGAACGTGTGACAATCCCCCTGTCTCATCCTCCCACAAGCCTCTCCACATAATTTTACAGAGTTGTTTTCTATTCTTCCCAACGCACATCTGAGCAAACTTGGGATCATTTGTATAAAGCTCCATGGCTACTAATGGGCATGATTAAAGTTGAACTTGGGAATACCTAGATCCAAAGCCTGTATTTTCCAATCTCATTCTCAACTTGTGCAGTTGGGAGGACAAGCCTATTTCCTTCATAGTACAAATAAGAACACAGTTTCATTCTAAATGTTCCTGTAAATGTTTTATCATGCCTTTATACTTCTGTGAAATGTATAGAGACTATCTAATAGTAAAAGATTCAACTCTGCAGCCATATAAAAAACAATGTATTTTGCTTTGGAGTTTTTATTCTTAAAAAATATAAATGATTAGAATTGGGTAAGCTTACAAATAAATATATTAAAGTCAGATAATCAATGTTCACCCACCTTTTAGAAGCATCATGTACATTTATTGAAAACATTATTGTACAGGGGAAATAGAAAAGCTTATGTCTCAGACCAACAAAGCAGAAAATGATAGAGGCAGAGATTGTTAATGATTTTAATGATTTTAAGGCCCATTAAAATTAGAGAAATACCAAAGCACCCACCAGGTTAAGGGTTTATTATTACAGCATTGTAGGGTTTACTAGTTCATACCTTTCAATCACAGCAAGTTATTAGCAGTGAAGGATAACCCTCCGAAGAGGAGTTTGGTTTCAGTGATATGGTGTTATGAACAAGACAACCTAAGTTTAAAAAAAAAATTAGTAGCAAGCGCTAGTTGAGTTAATCAGTTAAAGACAAACTGTGCCCTTGGGAAGCTAAATAAAAAAAGCAACAGTAAAGCTTACAGAACTTAGCTCGTACAATTTGCCTTGAAGGCGGAAGATTGGTTCCCTGAAATAGCAAAGAATTATATGCTTTAGTTCAGAAAAAAAAAAAAAAAGTTTTAAGATAAAGTCTGTTATTACCTCTTCTCCTTTCAAAACAATGGGAAAAAATCATCTAGAGCAGAAGTTTCAATTTGTTCAATAATTGTACCTCTGTGTTTTTTTTTAAAAAAAATCTTTTAAAAAAATCATCATTGTTTTGAGTTGAAAAGAAATAACAATGCAAATATTCATTATCACATAAAACATAGAAGAAACAGCAAACTGCCGGAGTTAATACAATCTCTGCAGAGCGCTATTAGTCAGACAGCAGGTCAGCCCCAAAACTCAAAAAACTCAAGTGATCAGATCGCCTTAGCAATTAACATCATCGTCAACCAATAGAAATTTGGCATGGCAGAGGTTAATCCAACACTGCCTTATTTCTGAGCTGTCCCTTCACTGTTACCAAGCTGTGCAAATGTGTGAACTAGCCAGCAGCACTCAGAAGCTCATGCATCTACTCACCATATTTTTAACCTTTAACTACCTCAGATTCAATGTTAAATCAAGTTCAGTGGTAACAGAAGCAAGCAAAAGAGGACACAAGGAGTCTAATACAGAGCGCACAGCAAGTAGCAGCGGTTACTTAAGGTGAGGTGGTAGGGTTAACTGCAAAAATAGCCAAAACAAAGTACGAAGTTCGCTCCAAAAACTTGAAAAGCAAAAAATAAAACAAAAAGCTGCATAAGCAAAAACTACATATGATTAATTTGCATTCAAAAAAAAAAGTCAGTCAAGCAGTTTAGTTCCAATGCTTTGGGGCATGCATGCACTGGGTCTCTTACATGGTTCCTACCTGATTTCCAATTGTGCTTTTCTTGTGAACCTGACTGCTCCTCTGCTGAGCACTGAGAAAAGCAAAGGAGAGCAGCACTGAAGAAACGCGAGATGTTTTTTCTGAACAAGTAACAGATACAAAAATACATTACATGTTTAAAACTCAAGGCAGAGGTAAGAGCAGCAACCCAGGTCCATCCAGTTCTGGAAGATAAAACAACCCAGTAGGATTTCTTGCAGCAATTAGCAACCAGCAAAAACAAAAACAAAAACCTATAATAACTCCACATGGAAGAAACTACATTGACAACAATGGGTTGGTGTGTTGGGGGTACTTCTCCTGGTGTGTAAAAGAACGGGAATGGGCATCAAATTAATGCTTATAGAGTGACATATTTTCTGTGACATACAGATTATTTTTCTGCGCAGTACCCTCTACTTCCTTCAGCACTGTTCTATTCAAAGGCCAAAGCCAAAGTTCTTGCTGTGGATTTCCAGGCCCTACTCAGCTTACGCCCACTCTCTGCCACTTTGACGAGTACCCTCTTCCCTTCAGCTTACTCACTGGTGAAGCCCAGTCAGCATGGCCTCTGTCAGAGCCACCCAGCACAGCCCTACACAAGAGGCTTCATGCTAGCTTACTGCTCTGAAGGTATTTCTCCTATGCTTCTGCAAAGCTCCTGATGTCTCTTCAAGGGTTGGCCCAAACTTTTCTTTTCAGTGAGGTCTAAGTTGCCTACTATTGTAACCGCTATTGTTCCCTTCAGGAACCTCCTGTGCCCTCTTCTGTGTCTCATTGGGATATTTTACCTTCCAGCCTGATGTAGTTTGTTTTGTGTCTGTTTATCCACACCCTTCGACATCAAGCTGGAAGCACCCTGCAAGCGAGGCTTATGTTTGCTTTGCTTAATGCTCTCTCCCCGGGGCTTTGGGAGGACCTATCACAAACTTGGCAGCAGAAGCAATCTATTGAATGAAAAGTTCCACGAGTCGGTGTTGTTAAATTCTCCACTTTGCAGTGAGCCAGAAGGAAGGGTTAAAGTCAGTTATCACTCTTAACAACTTAGCCCTAGAGCCTACACTAGTAAGTATGATGTTATTCTAGCTCTCAGAAAGAACAAAGGCTTCTGCTTTCTGGATCCATAGATCTGTCATAAGAAAACACAACTCATCTTGAGTATTCTGGCAAGACAATCAATGCCATACCCTCTGTTAGTTCATCTAAAGTTTATAGTAGCTGTTTCAGAGAACAGTGGAATGGTCTGAAAGAAAGAAGAGGTAGACTACAGCCATAAGCTGTCCGCTTAAAGTGATTAGATGTTATGGTTTGGTCGCAAGATAGAAATCAAAACCCCACTTAGAACAGTTGTTCAAAACAGCAGTTTTTGAAATCTCCCCTGATGTATTTAAGCTGCTTGCCTCCACTCAAGCTCATAAAAACCACACAGTGCACTCAGCTGAGGCTGGGCAGTGAAAGGTAACACTGCATTTTTGGTCACTGGAGATATTTTGTGTGTATTTTTGTTTTTCATTATTAATTTACCAATTTCAGTTTCTTTCTTGCCTTTGGCTTAGTTTTATAATTTTTAGCTAAATGCCCAATTCCCTTCATTTCTTTTCAACCATTCCTTTGAGGAATCTCAGCCCACAGTTGTCAGTGTTTTATAAGCAAGGATGTAAAGGAAGGCTTGAGTCTGTCTGTGGCTAGGATCCCATGCACCCACACTGCCCTCTGGCTGCCCACCAAGCCTGGCACACTGAGTGTCTCAAATACTGCTCCCCCTGAACTTCAGTCTCTCCCTCCTACAATGTCTCTCCAAAGTCACCTTCCCAGAGGCCCCCTGGGCTTGTGCAGCTCCTAGGAATAAGCAGGAAAATGTCTACTGCAATGTGAATGTCCTTTGGTTGTGGCTATATTCCAATATATTATTTTGCTTTAAGGGGACAGACCTCTAATCAGTATAATCACTCTGAAACTACAAGAGACACAGAAGTGAGCATTTTTTTTTTCTTTATAAATTCCTGTGGACTTCATGTTACATGGAGAAAAGAAGCAGAACCCAGCTTTGGGCAGAGCTTGACCCCATTGGCCACAGCTTCTCAGTGGCAAAGTGTGGGAGTGTGAATTGTTAGGGGTGGGGGCGATGTGGACAGAGGAGGAAGGTGGACTGAATGAGTTGTTTCTTAGGGTCAGGGTTTTGTCTATCTGGGTGGTAAGTTTTGGATTCCATGTGGGGTTTTCTGCCATGTTAGAGATGGAACCAAAGACCTCCTACATGCTCAGCAAGGATGCCTCACTGAAATACTTGAACACCCTTCTTGGGCTCCTGAGTGGCTGCATTCCTGTTGGTGATTACCAGCAATATTAGACAAAGGGCATTTCCACTAACGGGGGTTCTGTAAGGAACAATGCTTGTTTACCATGTGCCACTTACACAGTCATACACGAGAAACAGATTTATTTTATGACTCAATCTGAAATACTAGGGTTAGAATAAACACTAACTATCCTCACTTTGTACCTAATGAATACCTTTTTTTCATCAGCTGCCTCCATAAATTCAAATATGGCTGGTAATTATGTATTTAGGTTGACACAGTTGTTCCATAAATAATAAAAAGGTAAGCTATTTAATTAAAATACACTCATTATCATAACTCTTGATAACTTAATTACTGAATTACTTAAGAATGTGTTCATGATAAAACATGTGAAGAATTTAAGTTAATTTGAGTCCTTGGATATATTCTTAGATATGGATGCTTAACTGGTCATCATAGCTATTTTATAAAATATGTTCATACACAATATTTTCATTTGACATGAATTAAACATTTTAGTGCAGCAACCTTGAAAAAGAAGTAGACATGAATAAGGTATGGTCTTTTTAACCAAAAGCACTAGTTCAAGTGAAGAATATATGTATGTGTTATATGTTTAACATCTGTGTGTATATATGTATATATGTAATAAATATTATACATAATATACAAATGTGTTATATAGTGTATAATATTTATTACATATATGTATATACAAAATACAACAAATAAAGGATAAGCTTTATTAAAACAAGAGGATTATTAGAAAGAAAAAAGAATGCTGTTTTCTGACTTGGGATAAAGTTACCTCAGCTTTTATTATGTCTGTGAATGTTTGTTGCTAATCCTATAACTCTCCTATTACATCCAAGTCACTGTGGAAGGTTTTGCCAGGTACTACAGCATAAAACCATATTGAGTTTATTGCATTTGTGCTTGAGAAATGATTTTGAAAGTAAATAATAAGAAATTGAATTTTTTATAAAAATTAAGAGCCCATTAGACGCCATCAAGACAAAAAGAAAGCTATAATCTCACTTCCTCTTTTCTGTCCTCCTCTGTGGCCAACACAAAGACTGAAGTATCAGGAGAGTGTGTGCCTAGGAGCTGGGTGACCATTTATCCACGAAGTCCTACACATGATGATTGCTTGCCACATTCAGAGACATGGAGCATTGATTCAGTCTGCAGTTCTTAGATTTTTATAGAAAATTTGAAATGTAAATTTTAACACAAGAAGACATACATCCACTTTATCCCACACAAAAAAAAATTGTTAACAAAGTCAGGGTGTGGGGAAATGAGGACTCGGGGAAAGCTGCAGGTCAAACTTCTATGGTGTAATCATGGACTCAGTTTGTAAATCACCTTAAAATTCCTCTAGACCAATAACCGTATGTTGGGGCCAGTCACAGAGAATTTGGCCATCAAAAGACAGCAGATAGTATGACCAAAGAATTGTTTTTATAAATATTACTTCCCCCAAATGGACAGTATTGACCCTGAAGGAAGAGAGGAGGCAGCCGGCCGCTCCAGCTTCTTCAGATGTCGGAGTCCTCCTCAGCGTTCAAAGTCAAATCAGCTTCAGTTTATGAACTCTGCCTTCTGAGAAGCCTCCAGTTCTCTGTCCTTGCCATGAACCCCCAAAGCCTTCAGTCTGTGCCCATACTGTACAAACAGGCCAGTGTTGCAGGAAGGTCTTTATTGCCTCTCCAGCAGGGTCTGCTGTCTGATAGCAGATGGCATACTGTATGTGTCTTACTACTTCTAACACTTTTGCCATTGATAGTACCAAACACAAGTTTATGGTAGTAAGCAGAAATACATTTTTAAAGCATTTATTTATTTATTTATTTATTTATTTATTTATTTATTTGTTTGTTTGTTTGTTTGTTTGTTTAGGGAGGCATGTGCCTGCCGCTGTGCATGTGTGTTGGTCAGAGGACAATCTGTAGGAGTCATTTCTCTCCTTTCTTCATGTGGTCCCAGAGACTGAACTTGGTTGTTCAGTCTCTTTTCCTTTTCCTACTGAGCCATCTCGCCAGCTTCTTAAGAAATATGTTTTTGGATTTTGTTTTTATGCCATGGTTATGTATAATCAAACAATCAATGTTTAGCTGCAAAAGAAATTCAAATGCTCTGAAGACACATGGTGTAGGCATGCAGTAAAGCACCAATAATCTTTATTTGGGGACTACAAAATGCTCAAATTTGCTGGAATATAAAATTGGGGGATAGACTAGAGAGGACCGATGACAATGTAACAAACTGAAGATATAAGTAGAAGAGATAGAAGGCATTGGAAATTTTGCTAATTAATTCAGACTTTATCCTAAAAGTAGTGGAGAATCCCAGCGAGAATGAAAAAGGCCAGGCCAGAAGGCAGGGACCCAGTTAAGAGAAGAATAACTTGGGTAAGGCAGTGATGACAGAAGGAAGTAGTCAAACTCAGAAACACCGCATGGAGATAAAAATCCAGGTCAACTTGACAAGGATGGAGAGAGAGGTAGATAGAGAATAAGAAGGACAGGATGACATCACATTTCCAGTTTGAGCAACTGAGAGTTCCTATCCACGGAGAAGGGGAACAAGGGAAGAAGTGGAGATTATGACATGGAAAGGCACTCATGGGATGCTGGGTTGAGGCTTCTCTTGGATACGTAAGCAGAACATGCAGGAGGAAGCTTCACATCAGGCATAGTTCAGGAAAAAGATCCCAGAATGCAGGTCTGGATTCAGAGTCTTCCGA